CATTTCAGAGTCAAAAAATAACAAGAAATTTTCATCAAAATATTTAAATACTGCTCTTCTCCAGTCATCTCCCTCTAGTATATACACTTAAGACTAAAAACACATTACATATCAACTCTAAATTATATTATATAAACAAATCAAAAAATGACTTGAAAGGTTCACAGTTTTCACAAGCCAAACATTAAACTATCCATACTGAATTGGGACACAGAGCATCAGGGAAAGTGGACTGACACCTGTAAAGAATGATACAAACTGATCGCTAGTAACAGGAAGTCAGAGCAGATAACCACAGCTTCCTTGAGAAGTTGACTGAAGTCAAGTTTTTGATATTCTGTACCAAGAAAAATGTACATAAAGACTTAAAACTCATAAGGTGGGAAATTTTATTAAAGTTATAGTATCTAGCATGCTCGCTTGCTCTGTCTTGTCTGTCTGTCCATCCGTCTGTCTCTCTCTCTCCCTCCCTCCCTCTCCCTTTCCCTCTCCCTCTTTTACATTTTGCAAATGGAAGAACATCCCAGACAAGAAGAAAGAGAAAATGAGCAAAAACACACTTTAATGCTAAGTGCAGCTGGAGAAAGCTTGAGACATCGTCTGCCCCTTCTGCAGATAGGAAACAGCTGTACTGTACGACTGAATGAAAGCTGAGTTGCAGAACCCAGGAGAGCTGGTGGCTGGAATAAGGAAGGAGGGAAAATGCAGTGCAAATCCCCATCACTACTCATTTATGAACACGAATAAAGAACCCAAAAGAAACGAAAGGGAGCATGGTCTCTCTGCCTTGAATGTGAACGCCTCTCATTCTGACTGGACCAAGAAATAAGTAACTATCAGAGGTAAAGACATTAAAAAAAAAAAGAATGCAAAAGAATAACTGCAGTCTAGCACAGGGTTATGGTCTATTTTATGTGCAGACTATAACAATAAATAAATACAGATGAATGTTCAAATCCAAAAACAGATAAAGTATATGAACAAGTAATTTATAAAGACATATAGAGCTTCTCAAAGAGCAAAATTAAATGAAGTAAACCTAACATGTCATGTATTTCCTTAATAATACCAGTTTTACAGGAAAAATAATTTTTATAATGACATGCTAGCATAAAGTGTATCTGCCTGCCTTGAGGGCAATTTGTAATCTGCAAAAAGAGTTAGAACAGTGCTCACTGCCCTTCCCCCAGTTATTGCATTTGTACAAATTTATGAGACAGTCCATTTAAAAATATAAGTGACTCTTTGAACATTTTTAAATAGCCAAAATGCAGAAAACTTCAGATCCTAACAAAAAGAAAATGAAATGCCTAGAAATACGTACCTAATAATCTATAATTTGTTTATTTGAAATCATGTGTAGGAAGAACATTTCAAATTAGAGAGTTGTCAAGATATAATGCTATGAAAAAAAAACTTAAAGTGATTTCAACTTCAAACATATTCAATAGCAATGCTAAACCATCAATAGAAGTTATCTGTAGGCATTGACATTACAGAGAAAATATTCATGTCATTTTTTTTTTTTCTTTTTGAGAGGCATACCGGGGATTGAACTCAGGACCTTGCACTTACCAGGCAGGCTCGTAAGTCACTGAGCTATCTCCATGATCCCTGATAGCATTTCTTTCTATGACTGATACACTTGTTTTAAGTTACTGTAAAATTACATAAACTTTTACTCATCTTAATATTTAATTACATATTGCTTCAATTAAGAAATAATACCTTAAAGCAATATCTGAACAGAAGCTTCTCTAATTACCTCACATTGACTATATTTTGCATAAAATTATGCAATGGGGCCAAAATTTAGAGCTACAATTTTTTGAGATAAAAACAATTATTTCTGAGTTTCACAGCAAGAGAAGAAAATAGTGAAATTGTTTTTAACTCATGAAAGGAATTCTCATTTGTCTCATTACACAAGCAAGAAATCTGAACAGCTAACAGCAGTGATGTCAACCGTGATGTTAAGCTTTATTTATTTGTTTATCTATTTTGGGTGAACCGGGGCTTGAACTCAGGCTCTCGTGCTTGCCTGGGAAGCGCTTATTCTACTGAGCCATCTCCCCGGCCCCTCTTTATTTTAATAATTCTTTTGTAATTATTAGTGCTGTATAACTCTCATTCATGCTTTGGAACTACGAGATGAAATAAATAATCAGAATACGAAAACCACACGCCTTTTCTTCAAAGCTGTGAACAAAGCTAAGCTCCCAAGAACAAACACAAAAGAAGGGAAAACTAAAAAGTTCTAACATCCATTCTTTTACAATAACAGAACTTAGAAGTTTCTATTTCACTGAAAGCAGCCGTAATGTAGCTGCACACTGTGGACATCTCAAGGAGAAAGGCCATCTACATGTCCCCGTACCTGGTATCAATCACCCTGTCATGTGGTGCATGTGGACAAAATCCCTCGCATCCCATGAAGCAGACGCAGGAATCCGAAGGGAAGAACAGTATGGGCAAGTATGGGCAGTAACAAACTGATGAAAAGCTATGCTTGCCGTTTGCAGCGTCAGCTTAAGTTTCCCAGATTAACAAGAGCAAAAACAAAAATGATACCACCAAAAAATACTAAATGCTTGTAGAATCAGTGTCCGTTTCAAACCTTCTAGTCAGTAAAATGCTTAAAGAAAAAATTGTACAAAAATGGAAAGTACAGCAAAATCTATCAATAATAAGCTACCATCAAATTACCTACGTTGTAACCATTAACTTTCATTATGAAGTAATACATGCCAACTGTCTTCTTTCCTTCTTTTCTTGTTCTTATCCTTAACTACCATTTTGTCCATGACTAAAGTAGTTTAGGTACTTCAGGCCATTTTTTTAACTCTACAATTATCATAATGAACAATACTGATATGATTTTTTTTAAAAAATTATTCTCATCACATTATAGTGTTTAAGACAAAAAGTTGTAATCGAAATTAAATAGTTATATAGAAGTATATACTGTTATGTAATGTATGGCAATAGAAAAGCACTGATATAAATACATATTAAGTTCATATTCTGATACATAATTATAATCACATAAACTGAAAGAAGTATCAGGTACAAAACCATGAAAAATCAATGGCATGATCTCTTTGAAAAACATGATTTACCTTAAAAATAAAGAGCCATGAAAACAATGTTTTCAGTTAAAAATTGTGAAGGAAATGAAACATATGTTGGGTTTCATACTAAGATCCTAAGTGTTAAAGAGATGTAACAAAGATCAAGTATACCACCAATATAATAGATGGATGCCTCCCTCATCCAGTGGATCAAGCCCAGAAGGTACTGTGTATGAGACAAACTCTTTATAACTGAGCACATTTCTAGTCCCAAGAAAAGGCAGATAACTCTTAACTGTCTATAAAATATACACAGATACAACCAAAATTAAAACAGCAATTCATAAAAGCACTCAAGATGTATATATGAATGAGAGACCACCTTTCTCATTTTCCATTTCCATCTTAGTCCTAGCCTTCCTTTGGGAGCCCATACAATACAATCAAGTCTGTCTCCAGGATAAATATCTTCAGATCCTTCAAAAGTAACCCACATGTGATACATTGAATGTTAATAAATTTGTACTTGTCCACATCTTATTTTACCCAGAAAAGAGGCCAATCCTCAGGTAGACTACAGTGAGAGTGTGCTGTCCCTTACTTGAGTTACATTTTTATTAAAATAACTTCATTTGAGCATTTTATTAAGTGTGTTCACATCATATTTTCTAAACCCACTTATTCTGGAATGATTTTATACTTAAAAAAATTTACAAGGATAGTACAGTGAACTCCTTCACCCCTTCATTCAATTTGTTCCCTTGTGCACATAGTTTCATTTTTCAAATGTATAATTTTTATTTTTAGAAATGTACTTTCCTGAGCTACATTTCCTTCATCTTCAATGCAGACATTTTGCTTTTTATTTGTTTCATTACATGATGTAAAAAGAAGATCTTAGTTTTGTTTCATTTTTAAGATCTACAGCATGAATTCATCATGTGAGGCTCGATTTACAAAATGAAGATATTTTGAGTCAAGATTCTGCTAGACAATATATCCACTGTTACCGCCAGGTTTCTGTCATACGAATACTTGGTAAGCAAGATTCCCACCTAATTCAATAGGCAATGGCTTAAGGTAATATAAACTTCTATAGAGTTGCAGTAGGAAACTCTGATGCAGACCTTTCATGAATTCTGAATCCAACCAAGTATCTGTATATCCAGTTACTTTATGTTGTACACAAAATATCCCTTGCCTAAGAAAAGCTCAGAAGTATAGTGACTGCACATTTTTTCCTAGTCTAATATACGTTTATATGCTGTTTCTCCATCTGCAACTTTAAAGTATCTGAACAACTGATGTGACCTGTTCCTCAAATGACTCTGAAATGCTCAAGAAAAAAACAAGAGCAATAAACTTAACATCTATTAGCAACTCACTAAAGCAGTTAATAACCTTGTGTGAAATTCTGCACTCATAGGAAATCCATAGAGATTTCCCAATAAGTTGCAAGCTAAAATTAAAAAAAGAAAAATAGAAAGATGGTATTGGTAGTACTATTTCTTGAATAAGAAAAGAAAATCCAATTTATCCTCTTGAAATTAGGTACTCGCCTTAATTATTATAAACCTTAGGGAACAAAATGGAATGAGATAGCAATTTACTATTGAAATCCTGATTAAAAAGGATAAATTAGACATGTGGACCTAAAGATAGATATTCTCAGCTATATCAATAATTGCCAGAAGATTTTTCTAAACAGTTTACTTCTCCTCATAAGATGCAAATAATTTTAAATTCTGTTTATCTCTTAAAACCAGGCTGTGGAATTAGTTTTTAAATTGCAAAACAAAATTGATACTTTCAAGAAGGTTGCAAACTCACAGACTTTCTGTAATATCGTAAGGCTTTTTAAAATAGAAAAGACATTTAAAAATAATTCTAAAGTACCCAACTACTGAAAACAAAGCTCTTTAAACTTACCTCATAGTAACTCCGAACTGCATTGCAAAATGCTTCATCAGCTACAATCTGGGTGTCCCCATTAAGGAAGGCCTGGAACCGTTCTTTCAGTAATTGCAACTGTTGTTTGTTAAGCTACAAAGAAAAAATGAAATAAGATGATAAATAAACTGAGGCATGAAATATAGAGATTATCAAAAGATGTGTGTGTGTGTGTGTGTGTGTGTGTGTGTGTACAATTTGATACCTAGAGTTATCTTCATAGTAAAGAAAGTGAAATTATCCTATCACATGTAGTTATAGCTTAACTTTAAATGTTTTAAGTTACTTCCGCAGGAGCCCCAGAATCCTGCTGTGGACACAGAGTCCATATATCTACTTCAGAGAGAATTCCTGCGATAAGCATCACAGTCTCTTTGCGGAGACAAGAAAATCTACACTTTGCATGAGAAATTAACTACTGTACAAAATTCTCCGATATCCTGCAACAATGAAAGCTGAGAGGGTAAGAACTACTACAAATGATCAAATAACACCTTGGATAGAAAGAAGGATGGTTGTAAAGGACAGATGGACGCTGAAAAACAATCTTTGGGGAAAATCAACCACTGGTTAACAGAAGCTCGGAAACTATGAAGAAAAATACATCAATTTCTGAAGTGAAATAATGACTAATGGCCTGATGTGAAATAAAGAGAAACACTAAGGACATAAATCTAAAGTTAAAAACAAAGAGGCAAGAGCATAGCACATCTTCTACCAGACTGAGAGGAGTTGGAAACCAGGAAGCAGAATACAAAATTATAACCAGAGGTCCTTAGCCTGGGTCTAGCTCCTATAGTTATCATAAACGGTAGCTTAAACATTGGCTATAACTCATCAAACACGTTCTCTAGTTATTATCTGCAAGCACAGTCAACTACTTTATGTGTAGACTCCACTGTAAAAAGAATGCATACGATCTCTTAATACACTATGAATTTCAAGTCGGCAGGGAAAGGCCCATGACCCTGAAGTTCATTGATGATGGAGACTGATATAGTCACTAGAAGTATATGAGTTCACACAGAAGCATTATTTTGTTGCTTAGAGAATGATTTAATTTTGGAAATAATGTATATTGAAATAGATAAGGAAAAGCAAAGGTGGGATCCTTCCATTTTATTTGATCCTGCTCAAACTTCATTAAAGAATGCAATCTAAGTCTGAAATCCACTGTGACATATGAAGCATTTGGAACATGCTGAGGATCAAATGATTAAAGGATTAGAGAAACTAAACAAAACTCGTATGAATTAGCTTCAGAAAGAAGGCTGATATGAAAACGTTTAAATATCTTCAAAAGTCTTATAAATGCCATAAAAGGTACAAGCTGTTTCTGATAGAATTTTATTTAGGAATTTCTTTTGCAGTTCTGAAAATAGAGTCTAACAAATAAGGTATGCTTAAAGAAATGTCACTTGTAATGATGGACTGATAAAGAAGTATCCTACTGTGGCCAGGTGTTTAAAAAGTCAGCCTTTTGTTCTTGGGGAGAGAAGACCATTCTATTTCTGTCCTTAGGTTATCTCAATTTCAGAGGAAGCTAAACCAAACTGAAATCTCCATTTCAGGGGAAGCCAAACCAAACTGCAGGAACATCCCGAGGATATTACAACTGCCGTCTACATAAATATGAAGGAAATGAAAGCAGGGAGCTTTTGTAGAGATGTGTGCTGGCAAGACAAAATAAGCCCATGACTAGCTCTCTAATTCACAAAAGGGACAGATGGAACTGGGGCAACAACTGCTGACCATGAGGCAGCTGAGAGCACGTTGGTTCTCAAGCTAGAGGAATCAAAAAGGGTTTTTCCGCAGAAAGCAAGCATCCAGGCCAAATAATGGAAAGAGAAACGCATGTGAAAATGACAAGGAATCAGAGATTTTAATGATCATTTGCACAAAACCAGAAAATGTGTATTTCTTTTTTTCATTCTCCTTTCTTCCACTAAAGACATTTTACTTTTTAAAAATTCCTCTAAAATATTATCTTTCCAGTCTAGTGTAATTTCAGTTAAGTTTTTATAGTAACTATTTCTTGGTAATTATGGTGTGAAAAATTTAAGGTTACTGATCAAAGAAAGATAATTAACTGATCTCAGAAACTGTAACAAAATTGGTATAGGTCACAAAAGGTATGAGAAACACTTAGGTAAGTATCATTCTTCAACATTTATAAATAAAAAATGTTTATATTTACATTTAAGAGATGCAATGGTGTCACATACTACTAATATATAAGTCAATAAATAGATACTATTATAGAAAAGCAATCTATTTTTCTACATATGCAAGACCAGAACAGAAAACAGAAACTGAATTTAATATAGAGCACTAAGTATAATTTTCAGAAATCAGTTTACTAAAAGCTATTTGTGTTATGACAATAAACGACATAACAATAGGTCAAAGGAATAAACCCAAGAAACATACTCAAAGGCAACCAGAAATGTACTGGATAAATACTGCATACTGTCTCAAAACAGTAGTAAATGATCATCATATGAAAAGAATGGCATTAGAATAACTTAATCGATTTCCAGAAGGAAAAAAAAAAAAAAAAAACACTGCACCGTAACTTACAATGTAGGGGGTTAAAGAGTTTAAAACTTTTAAGATATAAATATGGTACTACTAGAAGGAAACATGAGAAAATTCCTTAACATTAAAGCTAAGATTTTTTTTACCTATGACTTAAAATCCAAAAATCCATCATAAGAAAGCTGAGAATCCCAAGAAATCTAACACTATATATATAATTAGTCAGAAACCAAAATAAAGTAAGATTTATCTCAGGTGTGCAAAGCCAGTTCGAAACTAAAAATTAGTATAATAATTAATATATTCCATCACATCAGTAAGTTAAAAAAGAAAAATATACAGTCACATCCATATATATATAGAAAATGTATTTGACCAAGTCTAACATTAATTTATCTTGTAATAAGAGAGGATTAGGTATAATATTTTCAATTAGATAAAGAACATTTACAAAAACCTATAGCTAACATCATAGCTCATGGGGAAAGATGAGCAGCATCCTACTTTGTGGGACAGTCTGGTGTTACCTTTCAAAACTAAGTCCAGTGACACCATCCAATCCAAAATACATATATTGATATTTACCCGATGAGTTGAAAACTTAGTTCAAAATATCAAAATGGAGGTTGGCAGCAGTTTTATGATGCCCTTAAATAGGAGAATGGATAAACAAAATATGGTACATTCAGACAATGAAATATTTAGCACTAAAAGACATGTGCTACCATGCCCTGGAAAGACATGGAGGACGATTAAAAGAATACTATGGAGTAGAAGAAGCCAATCTGAAAAGACTTCCTACTCTATAAGTCAATTATATGACATTCTGGAACAATCAAAGCTATAGAGACTGTGAAAGGATCTACTGTGCCAAGGGAACGAGGGAAGAACTGGAAGAGCATGGGCAATTCCAGTGAAACTTCAAGCGACACCATGAGGATGAAAAGATGCCACTAGAAATTTTTCCAGATCTGAAAACTGTACAACACCAAGAGTGAAAACTCATGTAAACCATGGACTTCCAGGTGACAGTTATGTGTCCACACAGGCAAACCCATTTAAACAAACATGCCTCAGGTGAGGAATGCTGACAACATGGTGGGCTATGGATGCGTATGTGGAAGCAGATACACAGGACATCTTTACTTTCTGCTACTCAAGAGCAATATTCTTATAAACCTGAAACTACATTTAAAAATAAACTATTACAAAAGACTCTCAAAAGTGAGGTTTAACATTAAGTTTTCCATGGCAAAAAAATAGCATAAGCAAAATAAAAAAGGACTTGTTAGAAAAAAATGTTTGAAGGATGTGAGGAGATAGCTTGGTGGCCTAAAGTGCCTGTCTGGCAAGTGCACAGTCCTGAGTTCAATTCCTGGTCTTGAATGCTGTTCTGGCCCTGGAAACCCTGGGCCAGTTCCAAAGTGGGGTGTGCTCACTCTCAAGTAAATCTTTGTTTTAAAAAAAAAAAAAAAGGTAACAAATGAAAACAAGAGACAAGAAAAAAAATGTCATAAGACTGTCCTGCTACAATGTTGCATATGGTTAGATTTCTAAATTTCTGTGTAAAAATATGTAATTGTTTATTTCTAATTATTTTACTATTTTTTTATTCTTTTTTTTCACATTCTGTATGGATTTAAAGTTCAGCATATCAAATGATTGATGGATAATACCTGATCCATGTTATGTCTAAGGTGTCTGATATTCAGATAGATACTGATGTTAAGCTCAACAGCCTATGTTATAGGGTAATAATATCATTTAGCTTCTCTTCTGGAGGGTTAACAACTTAAGTTTGCAGACCAAAAATTAGAGCAAAAGAAAGACTACAAGGATAGCCAAAATTTGGCCCTAGCCTTTCAAGGTCAGTGAGGACTCAGGACATAAGACAACCTGTACTGTAACATCCTGTAACTCAGATGGTGTCCCAAATTTTCTGATCAAGGAGATTATGGGGCCACAAAGGAAAGTGAGTGATTATGTAGAGTGTGCCTAAGGAGAATCACCTGGAGAGAAAACATTCTCTCAGGCTTTCACAGAGCAAACTGGTCAAGCAATGGTCGTGACTCATCCACATGGCTGACACCTACTGTCTTAGTTACTCTTCTCTCGTTACTGGGACAAACACCTGACACTCAAAATGAAGGTAGAAAAGGTTTATTTAGCTCACAATTACTGGAGGTTTCAGTCTATATTCAGCTGGCTCCAATGCAGAGCAGCACACGGCAGTGGGCAACCTATCATGGCAGCAGCAAAAGGCAAGAGCACAAAAGGAGGAGAAGCAGCAGCTCAGGCAGCTAGCTTCTCTTCCCACCTTACATTATAATGCCCCAGGGCAGGTGCAACATCCACACCCACAGTAAAGGATCACAAACTGCAGAAGCCACCCCAAGACTGCATGAGGCTTTGGGGGGACAACTATACAGAAGCCATAACACCTACAAATGATCCACAAACTGCTATACATGATTTAAGGGTAAGTCCTGAGGGGATGTGATTGACCTAGTCAGATACAAAAGTTACATTTCTTGTTACATAGGTCTTGCTTTATC